CTTTGAGTCCATGGAGTAAAACCCAACCTCATAATGAGACCATAAGCCGACAATAGGATATGGTGATATGTTCATTTATTTTCTGACTTCTATCTGTATCGATAGAAGAGATTTTAAAATTAATGCTGATTTTTCCTCCAACTTTTTGAAGGAAAGTCAGTGAAGCTTCTCATCAGATGTAGCTTATTACTTTATGGCTTTCATTGAGATTAATCATAGTCACAAATATGACACATTTTTAGGTGTCCAGGCACATTTTTATTCCTAGCCAGAATATAAGCAACTTAAATTAGTTGAAAATATATACTGTCGTGGCTAGGTTAAGCTTTGGAGCTACAACAATTGCAATCTGCCTATTCTTAGATGAAACTAGGTGGAGTTGTCAAGTCTTTGGAAGATTTTCCAACCACTTAATGGATTTGCAGGATGACATATTAAGTACACAGAATTGTTAAATGCTCTTCTATTAAACTGAGACATTTTGGTTTTCTGAAGAATTTAAGATATTGAGATGCTTAATGTATTTCCAGCTTCTGGAAATACATTAACCCCACAAAACTTCCCCGTTTGGCACACCAGACTTTTCCCCCAACATCTGCAATTTCTGACAATGACCGCCTCTTTTCTTGTTTCCATATTCATATTCAGTGCTGGAAAGGAAGCTTATCTCCAATGTACAGTAGAATAAATTCTTCCTACTTACAGAAAAGTCTTGTTCTGAATGTACAGGAGAAAGATGGGGCTAGAACTCCTCTCTTTAACTGATGATATTCTGAAACACTGCAAGACACTGAATGTATATAAACAAATCAAGACTCAATTCAGATAAGACTGAGTTTGTTTGGCCAGCAGATATGACAAAGAAAGACTGTAGGTATACCCTATTCAGAATTGGGCTGCATTCCCTCTGAAACAAATTTGAAGCCTGGAGGTACTTTTAGATCCAGCACTGTGTACCAGTTGTGCCTGTTTCTGATGGAGACATACATGACCATAATGATGTATGCCTTAATTATCTCATGTTTAAATTAATGTAGCTATTTTTTTCCAGGGGCCTACCCTTGAAGAATGCTTGGAAAGGCTCAAATCAAAAACAATGTGGTCACATTTCCTTCTTATGCAGGCTCTGTTTACCACAGTATGCTATTCCCATACCAACTGCTCAAGCTTTCAATCTCTCTTGATCATAGCTAAGATGCAGGTCCCAGAAAACACTAAATAATTTAGGGCCAGTCCATCTGAAAAGTATAACTTTTCACATGATCCTGTCAATTATTTAAAAATTGATTTCAGAGAATGTTTTCATCACCAAGAGATGGCACACTAGTGACAAAATGGAACAATTTTTTTTTCTGTGGCAGAATTCCATCTGTAATCTTCCATTTCTAAAGCAATTAAGGTTGGTTCTACTTTTATTTAGTGTTTGATAAGCATGTATTCTCTTGGCGGTCCTTCATCTCCATATGTTATGGCTGAGAACATCTCTATAACAATACATACTTCCACTGATAGTATAGAAGACACACACATACTCAAAACTACTAGTGAATTTGTACCATACTACTCAAGTGTTTTTTTCCTTTTTAAGTAGTTCTGAGCTTCCATAGAATAGCTTAGTGAAAAGGCATTACTTACATCCACCACAGTTGATGAAGATTAACCAATGGAGATATCCGGCTGATTTTGTTCTGTTGGCACTTTCATTTATTAAATTCTGATATGAACTGGATAAGCATTCGATTAAGTTATAACTGCTACTATGATAAAAATAATCCTGAGGATCTCACCTGTTCTATACCAAATCCATATTCATTTCCTTTATATATAAAAAAAATTCTTCTCACCCTATGAAAGATATGTGTCTTTCATAAAGGTGAACTGAGAGGATTTGAGAGAACTGAGAGTCTGAGGGTTCTGTGAAGTACCTTAGCTATTCCAAGCACTTCATTCTTCTGAACGAAGAGCTCTGGCGTTGTTCCTAGGATCTTTTGGAGCCACTCTTCCAGCTTAGGAATCATGGGATCAAGGGTTCCTACTATCATTTGGACCATTTTGGCCTTTACTATCTACTCCATTTACATATCTACTCCATTTCCTCCTTCAGGCCTTGGTCCTTTACCAGCTTCTCACACTGCTTCTTCCTGATGTTGCTGTCCTATGGCACTACTACAACATTGTACAGGTGTTCCTGTACACAGTGCCAGCTACTTGGTTGTGCCATTCAGTGCATGTTGTTCCTACCTGTTGAGGTAATTCCCCGTTAGGAGAATGAGCGCATACAGGGAGACTTATTTGAGAGTAGTGTTTGAATAATACACACACAGCACACAGATACACTGTACAGTAAATGTAGGTTTTTACTGTCAATAAAGGTTTAAGCAAAGTTCCAAATAGGCAGTCCAAAGTCATTCACAAGTTAAATAAGTCAGTTTTCAGTCCAGGGATAATCCAATATCAAAGTCCAGTGTCAAAAACAGTTCAGTATCAGACTTACATCAAATCCAGGAATAGCCGTCAATTAGGAAAAATGGAGGAACGGCGATACTCTCCAACAGAAGAAAACAGAGACTCACTCACTTCTTCTGAGACTAAGACTAAAACAACCCAGGTTTCTGGCTCTATCTTATGGCCGTTTGAGAAACCACACCCAATTACACTTTTAGGATTCTCTTAAAGAGACAGTATTAAAATGTCTATCCTGGTTTATATATTGTCCAACCCAAATAGCTGTTAGGTGACTTACATTCCTAACACTACCTGCATCTTACACCCTGCCATTATATGTAGAACTCTCTCTCTTTATATTATAGTTATTATCTATAATTTTTATATAATATATAACATTTTATTAAGAGTTTTAAGAACAATAATAAGAACCTTTACAAACTAAAGAATAAGAAGGGAGAAAGAGAAAGGGAGAGATTCAAAAAAGTTAAAAATGCAAAAAGAAAATGTCAGAGGAAAAAAATATAAATAAAAGATAAAAAGTAGAAAAAAGAAAACATGAAAAGATATAAATATATTTTTAACCAAGTAAAATAAGAATAATTTATCATCTTCACCGCAACTATAAGGACAGTTATATTTTAACCTCTCCCTGTCTAAGGTTATGATCTCTTCTTTCTATAGTCTATTCATCCAATCATCTAATCAAAACCATAAATCACATGTTAAGTTTTTTTCTTTTTTATGAAAAAATAAGGGATTTCCAGTCAGTGATAAATGTGGCTATTGTCTTTTCTCTAATCAAACAAGTCAATTACAAAAAGTTCTGTCATCTTCGCAAAGCATTCCTCTATTGTAGGAAAGGAAGGAAAGAACTCCCTGCAGATTTTATGTAACCGACTATAGGGGAGGGCACTCATCTCTGTTTCCAGGGCCATTGAGCCAGTGCTAGTCTGAAGAAATTTCCAGTCATGTGGCCAGCATGATGTCATGAAGTGCTGTTTTCTCCCGACCAAGGTGGTACCTATTTATCTAGTTGCATTTGCAAGTTTTCTTTCTGGAGCCGCATGTGGCTCTTTCATCCCCCTGCTGCGGCTCCCTTTTGCTCAAAATATGTGTCACGACCACCAATGTGCAACACCCACTGGCATGCAATTTATTGAGCTTTTCAACCCAGAATAGATTTTGTGGCTCCTGGTGTTTTCTTTTCTGTGGGAAACAGATCCAAATGGCTCTTTGAGTGTTTAAGATTGCTGACCCCTGTTCTAGACTCATAAATTCCTGCTCAAAGAGCAGGTGACAGGGCTAGGAGAGCCTTCACATAACTGCATGTGGTGTACCAATTATACCCTTTCTGTACATTCTGTATTGGGAGGTCAAAAGGACCATCACAATATTAAAGTCTCTAATTCAAAACCAAGGATCTACTGAGCCAGCAGCTATAGAATAACAATAAAAGTCACTTGCTAAAGATAGGTAAACACAGAATCTGATACTATTTCCCAACCAATTGTGAGGATATAAATATATGGTAGAAAAAAATCTGAAGAGTTCAAATCTCCCTCTCCTTTATTAAAGCTAAAACAAAAGCTTTATGAAATATTTGAAATACAAGGGTGAGGCATTTTGGTGAACTGATATCAACTGCCTCTATTTTGGGGGGACAGAATAAACACATATTGTCACAAGCAGTAATACCTGAAATACTGGTAGGTAACATTTGTAAGGAAATATTCCAAACCTTAGATTAAATCACTAATGTAGTAAACAACAAATCTAGTGCTGTTTTACATCTTAATAAGGTCTGATATGAATATTACCAAGAGGACTGAAAATGAGGCCAAACGATTATAAATGACAAGATATATAAACAGCAAGTAAGACATTTAGAAATTCAGTGAGATGAAAAAACTGAAGAAGTGGCATTTCTTAAACAGATGTAAGGGTGACTGCAGATGGCATGTTAGAGAAGGTCAGCTGCCTCAGAGGCAATAGACAAGAAAGTTGATTTGTGATTGAACACAAAGAAGAATAATGCAAAAAAGGGAGAGAGTAGCCTGGATACTAAAAAAAAATGTTTTAAGCTATTCAAAAGATTCAGCAATTATTCCTCTGCATTATTAATACCAGGTCATATTCATATTCATGGCAAATGTAGATGAAGAGACATACCTAGATCGACCTGCCTGGTTTAAAGGAGGTAACAATCCTGTCTCTCATAGCCACAGAGTGATATGGAGCTCTGCCTCAACTAGATGGGGAAGATTTTTTTTAAGTAAGATATATGTTTTATACACACTCACACACATCTGTATTTTTTTAAAAAGTCTGTTGAAATATAGTTGCTGACAAAGACATGGAAATGATTTATTGGAGGCAAGCATATTTGAATATAATTTGGACTGCATTTGTTTTTGATTTTTTTATCTATTAATTTTTTTTAAAAAAATTAAGCAATTACCTAAAATATTGATAATATTTTTGAGATGAAAAGTATAGAAACATCAGTTTTCTTATAGTAAATCGCACAGGGATAAATTTATAAATCTCCCTACCTTAGCTTCATTTTCTCATGCATCCTTCCATGCTGGATACACTGATCCTCCAATTCATCATGCCTTTTCTGCACCTTTTCAAGTCTGTCATGGATATACTCATTTTCCTGACTAAGCTGGCTGATTTCCGACCTAGAGAATTAAGAACACTGATGATGGATGTTGCCAGATTTTATCATGCAGTGTATCATCAACTTAACAACTCTATACTTCACATCTGCATCTTTGTTCAGAGCAGAAAATATCAAAAAGTACTCTGGCAGTACTATTGCATATCTGGGGACATAACTCTACCAGAACCTGCAACTTAAAGCCTCTTTCTAGACCAGCACTGGCTTAAATAATAGGTGTCATAGTCTAATTTAGAGGACATTATGATGTAAAAGGCTGAACTATTGTTGCCAGGGTTATGGGGGTTTATTGGCTTTTGTATTGGGGTTCTTAATCTTTGTAAGCTGCACAGTTACTGTGATTGAGTTGGGCAGCCATGTAAGTTTTCTAAATAAATAAATAAATAAAAATAAACTACAGATTTTTTGGGGGGGGGGAAGTTCATTACACTAGGGAACAACAATATGAGAAACTGCCTTATGTACTTTCATTTACTTTGCAGGAAGGTGTTATAGTTTTCTTTTCAGTCCACAAAACTGCAGGAACTTCATTAGGTGGACCGGAGGGGGCAGATCTTCTATGTAAATGCATAATGGGACATTCCTTCCCCCCCAAGTGAGGTCATCTCCATCCCTACTTATTTTCTGGAAGTCCCTCAATACCTGGCTATGTCATTTGGCCTGGGGTTTTTAGGGGACTGGTGAAATCTTGAGGTGGCTTTCTTACTGATCTTAATCTCTTGTGTATTTTATGTTTCCTTTCTTTTCTTTTCTTTTTTTTACTTTTTGTCTGCTTTTGACATGCTTATTGTTTTTATGTTTTTTGCTGCATGGTACCCAGAGTCATTTCTTGTGACATGGGCAGCCATATTAATTTGATTGATTGATTGATTGATAGATAAATAAATAAATAAATAAATAAATAAATAAATAAATAAATAAATAAATAAATAAATAAATAAATAAATAAATTCTAAATATATTTCATGGGAAAGATGTTCCACCAAATTCTGTGAACCTCAGATTAAAAATATGGCATGACACAAGTTATTTTAAAGACTGGAGTCACAGAACATATAAAAGAGTTAATAATAAAAGAGTTACCGTGGCAAATAATTAAGCCCACAATTCTGCCATTTCACTCACATATTTTCTTTGGAGTGTAGGCACTGCAATGTTACTGAAATACCACAGTTGCAAAATGTAGTATTACTAAACATTCATAAATCTTGATCCATCAAGAAGCTAGCGTACATGTAGTCCTCAACCTTTGACCCCAACATTTCTGTTGCTAACCAAGATAATTGTTAATGAGCTTTGCCCCAATTTATAATCATTTCTGCCACAGTTGTTAAGTTAGTAACATGGCTGTTAAGTGAATCTGGCTTCTCCATTGGCTTTGCTTATCAGAAGGTCACAAAAACTGATCACATGACCCCGAGACACTGGAACCTGTTATAAATACATGCCAGTTGTCAAGCATCCAAATTTTGGTTACGTGACCACAAGGATGCTGTAAAGATCATATGTGTGAAAAATAATCATTATACTTTTTAAAGTGCTGCTGTATCTTCAAATGGGTACTAAATAAATGGTTGTAAGACAAGGATGTTGTAAATCACTCCATGCACATTTAGCTTAAAAAGCCAATTTTGTTCCTTTAATTTTGATAGATATACAAACATTTTGCCGAAAATATTTGGTTCACTATCATTGTTTTTCTATTCATCAGAAATTTAGCATTTTAGTGTAATATAATTTCTTTTGATTGAGATTAGGACAAAAAAAAAGATATCATAGCTGTGGCTTACTTTTCCGCACAAGTTCAGTTTTACCTTCTGATTCTCTAGCTTTGCAAGACACTCCTGGTGTTTAACTGTAATGACTGCAGTCATTCAATGCAGCATCAACTGAACATGCAGAAAAACAGTTCAACCGGGTGCATGTTCTTTACTTCAATTAAACTCACACAGTTGGATGCCTACTGTTGCCAAAATGGTAATATAATTTATCCATTATAGGGAAACAGTAAAACTACACTAAAAGTCATTTAACAATATTTATAACACCATAAAACCAGTGTTAAAATATATGGACTGCAATGTGCACCAAAATTATAAAATTTGTTTCTCATAATCGGTGATTAAAAACAGGATCATTTCTCTAGCTTCAATACACTCAACCCTGGTGACAGATTAGAATTCAAATCTTAATGATCAATTTACAATTAACAAGATAGAAGTGAAACAAATTAAACCAACCATTATATATAACGAGACCCAATGGACTTCCATTGTGCACTTAATTACAAATCACAAATCACAAATACACAATAGACAGTGTCAAGCATCAATCCACAAACCTTAGATACCATGATAATCCAAAAAAAGGAAAAAATCATATAGAAAACACTAAAGAATTGTATTATTACAATTCCATGTGTTACAAAGAGCTAGATGTGCAGCTGGAGGGGAGTAAGTTCAGTATGTCCAAGATCCGCCTACATATGTGGGAAAAAATTTTGCTCAAGCTAATTTTTTATTATTATAGATTCTTCTGAACAATTTGCCAGCAATATTATACATTAGTGAAGGTAACAGCTAAATCCAATAACACTAGTTTCTATCTATTTGTGTAAGATAACTGTATCTTTACACACCCTAGATATAATCAGTCCCAAGATATTCCATATATTAATCAATATAATTCACTTCTTGACAATCTTACCAAAAGAACTATAATCCTTAATGCATTATGTTTTGTTAAACTTAAGCAGTACTATAATATACTAAAATTTCAAAGAATATTTTGAGATATTAGATCCTTTTCTTGGTTCAAATGGTAGAAAAATTCTTTTAATCTTTAATAAACAAAAGCACTGTGTAAACAATTAATTATGTTCCAAATCATCTTATTTATAAATGTTAGTGTCAACTTGAATGAATTTCTTAGCATTTAAAAAGTGCATTCATGACATAGTTAATAAGAAACATACATTATTTATTATCACATCTTTTCCAATCTATAGCCATTTCATACACAATCATTATTAATTTTGGCCAGCAAATTATTTATTGCATAACACAAATTTTAATAAAGAAGCAGTTTCAGAATGGATTAACCATGAATACTGACAAGCTATCAGATTAATAAATCACTCTAAATGTAATTCTCAGTTGCAGACTGCTCCAATCTCCATCAACAAAGTTGCTAATAATTATTTCAAGAACAGTGCTCTGGAGATTATTCTGTAATTTCAAGGAGATAAAGGCACGAGGGAGGCACAAGCTATAAGCAGTAAGGGTGGGGTAGGTATTGCTAGACTATTCTGTAAAGACATATATTCTTTCCAGATATGGATTACAACTCCCATCTCTCTCAACAAGAATGGGCATCAATCCCCAATGTAAACTCAAGACAGTGGAGGAGAAAAAGATGGAAAGAGATGTCATGGGAGATGGCCTGGCTATATAGAAAAGCACTTCATACTACAACATTCCACTTCCATTCAGATTAACATGATTAGCTTAAGGTACAGGAAAAGAAATGCCAACTGTAGCAATAGCATTTCAATGTCCAACTGTATAAATAATTATCCCTTGAATGTTTGTAACTTAATCTGAATCAGATACTTTGTTTTTTTTTTTGCAAGGGTGACATATAGAGTGCACATTCTTAAATAAATATGCAGTGTGCAAAATGGGTAAACAATTCCTTATGTATTTATTTATCCCTTACAAAGAACATATACCTCAGAAACAACTTTATTTAAGAACTGAGTTATATCTGCCCTTGTGCTTAAGTAATCTAGACAGTCCATAAGATTAACAATTTGCCATCCATAATACATTAAAATTATTCAGTTAATTTAGTTAATAAAAATGGGAATTTTGAAAAAAGCTGACATTGCACATATATTGTGATTACAACTACTGTGATACACAAATTAAATGTGTTCATATTAAATGTGTTCATTGGGAGTAAGAGAAGGAAAGAAAGAGATTAAAACATCATTGACAGCCAAAGTCTACAGCAATTAGCATGCTGTCTTACTATGGGAAGCAGTTTTCTTTTGAGCACTTACAAATAATAAGGAAGTCTCAATTACTTTCTAATAGCTTCATATTCAAAATTACAGACTTTCTTTACCTATTTCTTTCAGTGACATGTTCAAGCTTCTTTGCTAATTGACAACATTCTTCTTTTAATTTTGATAGAAGAGCATTCTGGGAACTCAGTAACGATTCCAGTTCGTTTACTAGAAACAACAATTATATATATACAAATATAGATAAGTTTTTTGAATATCAGGATTTAGATATTGCACAAGTTTAGAAGCACTTTAAAATTTTACTCTGACTACAATGCACAAATTACATTTTGAAGAAGTTAACCATAGCAAAAAGAAAACCTGTTTAAAGTATTAGGACAAATACATAGTCACATTTCTTTCTATGAATTGTAAGGTTTTTTTTCTCTTTTTTGTTCAGATACTAAATCAGTTTTATAGAAGCTTCCTAAAGAAAGAATAGAACACCTCAATGTTTCTCACTGATAACAAGAGCTGACACTTACTCTTTACAAGGAAATACATAATTGCCCCATGACAAAGACTACAGAATGCTATTTCCTATTTTGTCCACTCATCTCCATTTTTAAACTAAGTTACTTCAACTTTAGTACCTAACAAATCATCCTGAAATTGTTGGCTCGGTCCCAAACATTAAGATATTGGGAGCTAAAATAAATTATAAAAATGCTATCGATTCTGATGTCAAACTATTATTTAACAGGGAGGAAAAATACAAGGAAAGTATTGCCTTAATACATGTTGTTTTCCCCCCAAACTGCATTCTGAAAAACTAATAAAATTATCCCATAAGCCACCATTTGTGATTGAATTGGCATTACATTTTGGCTAATGAAAACCGAAAACATTTATTCATGGAAAGTACTTTCACATAAAAACCACCAAAGATGATCATGCATTCTTTGTAATTATGCTAAATATAACTATCTTTACACATAATACTCTAAAAACAATTTAACAATGTCATAACATAAATATTTTCATGTTTTGGCCATGGTTTATTATTATGAGTTATTGACTTTAGTTTAGTTTACTTTATTGTCATTACACCTCGTATAACAAAATTAAATACCATCTTCAGTGTACATTATGATTATGAAAATAAACACAAATACACATCCTTCACAATCTATATATTGAACTGAAAATCCCTGATATTGCATTAATATTGCATTATACAGTAGAATTCAATAGAGTTACTGCCCTGGGATAGAAGCTGTTTTTCAGCCTATTTGTCCTTGTTTTTATTATGCTGTACCGTCTGCAGGATGGTAATAGTTCAAATAAGAGATGGATCTTTGAGAATGTTTTGAACTTTCTTAATGCAGTGGGAGCTATAAAGCTCTTCTAAAAAGGGGAGAGGGCAACCAATGATCTTCTGGGCAATGACGTTAACCCTCTGGAGTGCTGTCTTATCTGCCACTATGCAATTGGTAATCATACATAGGTGGAGTAAGTTAAGATTACTTTCTATTGTGCAGTGGTAGAAGGTCACCAGCAGTTTTTAATTGAGTTGTTTTCTGAGAAGCCTCAGGTAGTATAAACTCTGCTGGACCCTGTAGACCAGTGCTGCAATGTGAGCACCCAGGTCAGGTCCTCTGTTATGGTAATTTACAATAGGAGGTTGTTTCTTTGATCCTTCTGAATACCAAAGATATTTTCCTGCTAAATTTCCCCCTCCAAAGCACTTGAGGGCAGGACAAGAAGCAATGGATGGAAACTAATCAAAAAGAGAAGCAACCTAGAACTAAGAAGAGATTTCCTGACAGTTAGAACAATTAACCAGTGGAATAACTTGCCTCCAGAAGTTGTGAATTCTCCAACACTGGAAGTTTTAAGAAGAGATTGGACAACCATTTGTCTGAAATGGTATAGGGCTTCCTGCCCGAGCAGACCTCCAAGGTCCCTTCCAACTCTCCTATTCTATTCTATTCTATTCTATTCTATTCTATTCTATTCTATTCTATTCTATTCTATTCTATTCTTCTATTCTATTCTATTCTACCCTACCCTACCCTACCCTACATTCTTATACTGTAATATGGTCCTCCAGCAATATATCCTGCTTTGCCCTTATCTATTTTAGTCTAGATGTAAATAATGAGGCCTTGGGAAAATATTTCTGCTATAATATGATATCATCAAAATCATTTTTGCCTGGAGGCCTAAGTTATCTCATGAATTAATCTGCAAATTGAAAATACCAGAGAAAATACAGAATCAAAGGACTGCTGCTGGATCTGATACCAGGATACTCCTCCAACTAATTGTCTGTCAATTAAAGGAATAAAAGTTCGAATAAGACAGCCCTTCTATGGTAGAGGAAGCATATTATTCTGCAGCTGTTATACTGAATAGAGCCATGACTAGTGGCAAGCTGCTGCTGATAGTTCATACACCATTTGGATTGTTTCTCCTTTTGGCCAGAAGTTAAGGCTGGCCTTTTAAAACATTTATTTGCAATATTTGAGATAGTGGTAGTATTCAGTATTTTGCCTCAGGAATCCCTAAGGTTAGGGTAGTTTTGGGGGTGGGGGTGGGGGTGGGGGGGATACTTTCAAATCATTATGGATTTCTGGTGACTTCCAGGACTAATCCCTGGAGTTTTTTGGCAGTATTTTTGAAAGGTTTAGGCTTTCTTCCTAGGACTGAGAGAAAGTGATTAACCTAAAGGCTTTCTTTGTGTCTTAGATGAGACTAAAACACATGTTGCCATTTTGTAGTGTGATATTCTAAACACAGGGGGCATGATGGTTCAGCAGTTAAACATGCTGAGCTTGTCAGCTAGAAAGCTGATAGCTTGAGTTTGAGATCCAAGCGCCACACAAGCTCCCCTTACTTGCCCCAGCTCCTGAAAACCTAGTAGTTCAAAAGCACATAAATACAAGTAGATAAATAGGTACCACTTTAGTGGGAAGGTAACAGCATTTTCCATGCCTCACATATGATCATGGTAGCCATATGACCACAGAAGTGTCTTCAGACAATGCTGACTCCTCTGCTAAGAAATGGAAATGAGCACTGCCCCTTATAGAGTTGGACATGACTGGACAGGGAAAAACTTTACATTTATTCTAACCACTACACCAAACTGGCTCCTCTCAATTTAATAGTTCAGAAATTTATTACCTCCATGGCAAGTGAAGGATTATCACCCCAAATGATTTCAGGCAGGGCATCTTTTTTAATTATGATCTATTCAGGGCAGTAAGATGACTATTTAATTAGGAGAATATACTGTATTTTTTTTTTTTTTTTTTTGCTCCATAAGACACACCTGACCATAAGATGCACTTAGAGGAGGAAAACAAGAAAAAAAAACAACCCTAACCACAGATAGGTGTCCTCTCATGTGCCAGCTCTGCCTATTGACTCCTGCACTGTGGAAAAGAGACAGAAGAGGTGGGCAATGACAAAGACAGAAGAGGAGGGGTTCAGCAGTGTAAAAGGACCCCACTGCTGCGGCCCAGCTCCTATTCACCAAAGGAATGGCACCGGTCCACCAGGGACTCCTGAGGTAATACACTTCACAGTCTGTGATGCAAATTTCGCTCCATTAAGACACACAGACATTTCCACCCACTTTTTTTGGGGGGGAAGTGTATCTTATGGAGAAAAAAATATGGTAGTTTATTATTCATAAACATTAATTCTGAATGTGATTTAGGTTGTAGGAAGTCCATATTTTTTAAAGAAATGGGAGAGGCTACTGCCTCTGAATATTTTCTCTATGCTGATACCCCAAGGCAGGCCTACTGGTTTTCCAGGAAGTTCAGAGGAATGAAAATGGGGATGCCAACCATAGCAATGGTGGAGGAAATTCAGAATAAATCAACAGAAGGTAGAGCCCATTTTAAAGAATGTACTACAGCTTCAATGGCAAAGATGTTGTAATTTGCCACTGTTGTTACATCTACACTGATTTTTCTAGTGCAGCTATTCCAAATCACTTTATGAAAGATCTACCACATTAAGAATAGAAGATAGATGATACAACAAAATTTTCTACGCACACATCTCGTACATTCATTCTAATTAAAATTAGCAGATTCTAATGATGTACTTTCTATGCTTACAAATTCATGTATATACTTCAGTTTAAACACAATGAGGATATGACAAAATTCCTCATAATAAGAAGCCAATCTTCGGCAGAAGTGCTTGAGAGAGAGAGAGATGGATTCTGGAACTGCAATGCAACCTGTTTTAAATGGAGCAACACTTCCCTAAAGAATCAGGTTTGCAGTCTGTGAGTGCATCTGGATTCACCAAGAAACAGATGCCCAAGAAGATGAAAATAGGAGTATCTTTGCCCAACTTAAGCTAGTATGCCAATGGCATCTGCTCTTGACAAGGTCAGTGCATCCATGATAATACCTACTAAGAAGACAGGACTACTGATTGGCTAGCTCCAATATATACATTATTTACCAATAAGCAATGTCCAAAATGTGTATTACATAAAAGGTGGATAGGAAAAAAAACCCAGTCTATTTAATGATGACATAACAAAAGAAACTTAAAAACATATTGAAAATAGTGGAACAGGATACTTAATGTGTGGGAAAATAAGATGATTTAGATAGGGTCAAGAATGTATGAATGCTTAATGAAGAAGAAATATATTGAAGTGATTTGGTCATGAAGAAAGAATAAAGGACTGAATTGCAAATAGGTTGAGAGGAAGGAGAAGAAAGTCATTTTTTGATAGGGTTGATGAATTCCTGTAAGAGAAAAAGAAAAAATAAAAAAAAGTAAGGCATTGTATGAGCTGGTATATGGGCCTGGTAGAAGCAATGGCAGGTCATAATGTTAGCAAAGATAGAGATGGTATAAACTGATTTTACCTACACTTCCTTTCCTTTTTTCTTACTTACCTTTTAATTTCTTCAGCTTACTGTTTCTTACTCATTTTAGGTGTTCTGCCTGATACCAGTACTACAAAAAATAGCATGATGGATTACATACACACACATCATGATTTTCATGTGGGTTAGTTGCCCACAATGGTTTTTTTGAAATATAAACATATAGCAAAATTATGAAGTATGAACATGAAATACTTGAATCTGTCACTTGACATCTCTCTCACAATATCAATCAATGTATAGTACTGAATCTGTGCAGCACATTGTGGAATATCATTATATTAACAAGAGGAAAATATC